AACCATAGAACTCAAAGAGGGTGTACTTTCTTTTTCACACGACAGTATATACTTGCAGCCTTACAGTTGTTCAGTGTTCTCATGATACTTACGAGTTTTCAGCATTTTTTCTTGCATCCTAACTTTTCTAGCATTTGCTTTGTATACTCTTACACATATCACTGTCATTCCTATGCAAATAACTACAATACTCTTGTTATTTTTTCACTTTAATTTCATCCCAAATCATTTCATCATTTCATCATTTTTATTATTTTATTTTTTATTTTATTCCATTCTCTCTGCTGGCAGTGCCTTGTTTAGACCATTTCACCCACTTTTAAAACAAAATTGCTTTGCATTTTTACTGCCTCTTTTAATCTTAACTGTTGCTTACGCTCTCTGACTACATTCTTAGTAAATATCTTTTTCTCTATGTGCACATTATACAATATCTTTCAACATTTTTGCAGCAATCATTCTCCATTTCATCATTCCACCAAACATTTCTTCACATACCTCCCATTAGCATTGTCCCCTCACTTCTATGGCATAGTGTGTTATTTAATATCTTTTGGTCCTTTTTAAATGGTATTCTGCTATTTCAAAATATGATCTTTGGTCAAAATGAATCTCAGTTCTCTACATTTTAATATCAGTTAACAGTATTTTGTGTGTGGTGTGAGTGTAAATGCTTAATGGTATAACTGCTATCATTTCAGTTTTATTTTATGGACCTTTCATTTAGAAAAAGAGCCCAAATGAATGTTTACATTTCTTCTGAAATCAGTTTCCAGACATTAATACATTTATGAATGCAAAGTATTTTTTGTGCACTTGAGTTTCTGTGCTGCCATTTATAAGATGTTTCAGTGGCTCCTTGTGGTAATTTGTGGACTTGCCACTCATTCATAGACTCAGTACTTTCTTCCACATCACCGTTATTCTCAGAAAGATGCAGCTGATGTGTATTTTGGGGAGAGGGTCATCAATAACTAAAATGGAATATGCTGCAACAATATTATTTCAGTATTGCTAAACAGTATTACTGTACTACTGCTGTACAGTAGTAAGTTCTTCAACTCTTCTCATTTGTTTTACAATAACACTATTGTGGTTTGGAAGAAACAATATAGTATCGTAGCTAGGAAAGTAGGAAAAAATCCTGCCTTTTGGAACATCATCCCCTGGAGATTAGATTGGTCCTGATACTACTGGCTTTCCGTAAGGCCTTGAAAACCTGGTTTTGCTGTCGGCCATCAGGACCTGGATGTGTGGTAGGGCCTGAACAGCTGCTGTGTTGATGATTGTTGATGGGTTTTCATATACTTCAGCTGTGGATTGTGTTGTACAGTATGTTTTTTTGTATGGTTTTTTCTATTGTTTGGTTTTTATACTGTTTTTTAATTGCTATGAGCTGCCCAAAGTCACATATTTGAGAAGGACAGCTATATAAATTGAAATAATGAATACATGTACAGTATACTCGTGGATAAGCTGACCCTTGAATTTTTAACCAAAATACCATGAAAAATGTGCTGCCTGCAGATAAGCCGACTCTTGAAATTTTCGTATGTTTTAATTTTCACAATTGGGTTATCTGTGGGTTGCACATTTTTCATGGTATTTTGGTTAAAAATGTGTGGGTTGGCTTATCCACAGATGGGCTTATACAAGATATATGGGTACTTTAAAAAAACTGAGGGAAAAACCTACTGTATACAGGTAGTCCTCGACTTATGATCACAGTTGGGACTGGAATTTCCATCTCTATGTGATGCAGTTGTAAAGCAAGATGTCACATGACCACGTCACTTAGCGACTGCAGTTCTGGCAGTCCCCGTTGCTGTTGTTAACTGAGAATTGAGGGTTAAGCAAGTACCACCCCAATCCAAGCCATTCTGGGCTTGGTCACTCCCAGCCCCAAGCCTCAGTAAGGTAAAGGACTGCCTCCAACTCCCCCCACTGACCTATCTCCCCTAATCTCTGCCCTTCTGGCAACCCTGCACCCTGACTTGTGGGGCTGCAAGCAGCCCCAGAACCACATAGCTTTGGGGCTGCTTGCCACACTCCAGGAAGCCGCAGCCGCTCCAGCCCAGTCCCAATAGTAGTTGCCCCTGCCGCCCTGCACTCTGACTCCTGCTCCCCTGTGCTCCGTTGCCCCAGCTGATCTTTGCTGTCTTCTTGCTCCAAAGCTTCTAGAGCATGGTGTGCCAAAATGCCCCTTTACAAAAAGCCCCTGGGTGGGGCTGGTCTGGGCTTTTGCTTTGCGCTACAAAAAGAAGTACCCCCTTCTTCCCTCCCTTTCCTTTTTTTTTTCCTTCCCCTGTGGGTAGACCAGGCCTTTGTGGCCCTCTGATCCTGTCCCTTCCATTTTCCATGTGTAGACCAGTCCTCCTTCTCAGGAAGACAAGTTAGACCAGTCCTGCTTTCAGTGACCAGGTAGACTAGGCCAGCCTTAGCCCTCCAGAGCTAAAGCTTTTTGGTGCACCACCAAAAAAAAAAAAAAAAAACCAAAAGCAGCACCTGAGCAACAGCATGCCAAAACACCCCTTTGCAGAAACCTCCTGGGCGGGGAGGGGCTGGACTTTTTCTTTTTTTTTTGCAGCACAAAGCAAAGCCCAGCTCAGTCCCACCCAGGAACTTTTTGCGAGGGAGTGTTTTGGTGTGCTGTACTCCAGGAGCTTTTTGCAAAGGGGCTTTTTGGAGCAAGAAGATGGCGAAGGTCAGCTGGGGTGGCAGAATGCAAGGTGACAGGAGGCCAAGAGGGCATAGATGGAGGAGATAGGCAGGTGGGGGCGAGTGGAAGTGGCCCTGCAGTCGTAAGTGCGGGCAGGCTGCCGAGTGCCCAGATTTTGATCATGTGACCATGGGGGTACTGCAGCGGCTGTAACTTCAGGCAGCAGTAGTAAGTCACTTTTTTCAGTGTATTTGTAACTTTGAACAGTCGCTGAACGAACGGTTGTAAGTCAGGGACTACCTGTGTACTTGCAGATAAGCTTATCCATAGATAAGTCAAACCCAATTTTTGGGGTGTATTTTGGCACCTAAAATTCTTGGCTTATCCACAAGTATATACAGTAAATAAAAATTCAGATTCCCTGTTGCCAATTTATTGAGTGGGTCTCAGCAAATACAGAGGTACCTCGGGTTACGAATGCCTCTCCTTACGAACTTTTCGGGTTGCGACCAGCTCCGGCCGCAAAAATTTACCTCGGTTTGCGAACTCCGCCTCAGGGTACGAACCGGATCCGCGGCCATTTTCCGCTGTGACACGTGGTCCGCAGCCATTTTCCGCCCGTGCCACGTGGTCCGCGGCCATTTTCCGCTGTGACACGTGGTCCGCA